AGTCACGTGTTCCGCCCAGATCCTGCCGTTGTCCTCGTGGCTGTGGGCACTTTCCTTCCCCTGACTTGGCATCAAATGCATGTGTGGTAGTAAGGACGAGAGGAAGGTTACTTTTTGAGGGTAGTTCAAAGGATTTGGAATAGAGATTTGGAGTGTCTGAGACAATTGTAAGTTTTAAGAATAGTAAATTCAAGAGTCCTGCTGAGTGAGCAAGAAACTAGCATGAATCTGTAGTCTGGGCATCGTCAGCGGGGGAGGAGAGGCTATGGTGCAGATGCAGGTAGCTGGAACTGTCCCTGCTGGACTCGAATGTTTACTCCCGAGGGGCCAGCTTCTGCCTCCTCCGCGCCCCCACCGCCCGCTGGGACAGCAGTGTGATGGGAAGTGGAGTGAGGTGAGGCCAGGCTGTTGCCCTGGGGATGCTACCTGGAGACCAAGAGGTGGTTCAGCTTGGAAAAGACATCACCATCTTTGCTTCTCTCTTAATTGAAAAAACAATTGATGGTTTTTAGTTAATGATCATTTAAATCACATTTCATTATAACATAGTTGTATAAGTATGTTCACTGCCTGGAATTGTCCATTGTTCAAAGGAGATAACTGTTGAATTTGTCACTGCTTAGAAACTCTGAAATGCCATCCCCAGTTACAGGGCGGCAGTGCGACTTGAGCTGCCAGGGAAGAGGAGTCTGCAAATGTAGTAATGGTACTCTAAAAATTAGAGGGTTGAGTTGACTGTGACTGGTCCCCCACCCCTTCCGTATGAGCCGTGTGCCCCACACGCACTGAGTCACTTCTCTTCTCCGCATGGCTGGGGTTCCTCGACTCCCTGTCGTTGGGACTGGCCGCTTGCAGTGCCCTCTTCTGCCCGCCGTCCTGCCCGGCAAACCTCAGTGTGTCTCCCCAGAATCAGCTTGACTTTGAAGGCTGCTCTTACCAGGGCTGAGCTGGAAGCTCACTGCTAACCACGTCTTGTATGTGTGCTCTTAACTCCACGTGCCTTTTCTTGGTGGGGTGTTCATGTCCATGCATGTGTGCACACATGTGTACGTGTACAGTGACGTGTGCACACTTCTTTTCTGCCTGGCACTCACATCGTGTGTGCTGTGCTACGTACCAGTTGAATGAAGTGAATGAAAACATTTAAAAACACAGGAAAACCACACTGAGATTCTGTATCAGAAACCAGTGAGTTGCGGGGTAAGGGAACATTGATGCACTTGCTTGACACCGTGTTAGCTGTCTTACCTTCGCATGTGTGTCTTCAAGTTTTGACAACAAACAAGTATCTCACAGATGAGGAAATGAAGGCAAGTTAATTACATACCTGCATTAAGTCCACGTAGATGGTGCACATGGAGCAGAGCACGACGGTTAACCCAGATCTGTGTGACTTGAAAGAGCCTCTGCCCTTTTCCCAGCACTGGCACTGACGCTGGCGATTAAATCAACCATCCTCAAGTTTTCAGATGAGTCCAACTTCTAAACTTTTCCGTTTTATACAGTTTTCATTAAATTTAAAACAGCTGAAAACTGGGGGTAGGTGGTTTCTGCTGGTGCAGGTGCAGGGGGAGCAGGCTGCGGGGGTGACTGACTGGTGCTCCGTGTGTCTCAGCTGGTGCAGAGGGAAGTACGCAGTTTATAAGTAACGGAGGTAAATGTCTTTGTTTTATTGTTTCTTTCTCTTATCCTCTTTTCCTTGATGTCCTCTGTATTTGCGTGTGACGCTTTCGACTCTTTTGTCATGATTTGAAACTAGAAAGGCCTGAGTCTGATTGATGTTCAGGGCCCTTGAGACTGGATAGATTGACTGACCCGTAAAGACGGGGCTTCAGTTTGTATCCTAGGTTTCTGTTCCAATTAGGAGTTCTGTTCTGTTAGGATTCACTATAAGCCACACTTTTTGTTAAAAGATGTATCATTTAGCTTTTTCCCGGAAGTTTTTGCTTTATAATTAAGTACCAGGTCTTGGAGAATGAAGGTCGCCTACGTCAGGATGGGAATTCTGCCTCATGTTGACCTTTCAGATCATCTTCCTTTTTCCTTTCCATCCTGCTCCCCCTTCAGCCACCTGGGACAGTAGATTTACAGGAGAAGAGGGAACATTGAAACATGGGGAATACAGATACAATTTGAGAAAACATTTCAGAGTAATTAATCACTGCCTTTTGGTCATTTTGAAATTTCACGTAACGTTAAAAGCTGACTTGTTTTTTTTCACTTCATCAGTGAGTTTTAAAGCTGTGAACACTGTTAGGGGCTGTTGCTGCCATAATCCCAAGAATCCAGAGTTCAGGGAGCGATCTAGAAAGGAAGGCACAGGTTGGGCGCAGGGAAGGTGGTGGGCGGGCTGTCCCATTTCTAGTAATAGCCTTGTCGTTGTCTGTTCTGTCTGATAATAAAGTGGCCACTCCAGCTTCCTTATGCTTATTGTTTCGTGTTTGTTTGTTTGTTTTTTATGCTTTTCAATCTGTTGATTGAAAATTTGACTTTAAAGGTACGTTTCTGGTAGACTGCAGTTGAATGTTACCTTGTTATTAGTTTGGGAATCTCTACCTTTTTACTTAAATGTTTAGTCCATTTATATGTAATATAATTATTGATCTGGTTGCTTGTTTCTTCTTGTCTCTTTTTTTCCCCCTCTGTTGCTCCTTTCCTGGCTTTCTTTGGGGTTAACTGAATTTTTTTTAGTATTCCATTTTAATTCCCTGTTGGTTTTCTAGCTGTCCTTTCTGACATGTTTGAGATTACTCCTAAGGACTGTAATTTGCACCTTTAATTTACCGTGACCTATTTAAAGTTAACGTACTACTTTGCATGAGCTGCAGGATCCTTAGAGCAGTGCAGCTGCGTTTACTCCCTCTGTTCTGTCTACCTTATCTGAGGATGTTACTGACTGGACCATCACTCATGTTGCAGGGTTTTTTTCCCTTAGTGGTAATGCTTTTTTTATTGATCATTTTTGTGTTTCTCCTTCTTATAACGTGGGGGGGGGTGCATTTGGATGACTGGATAAGACTAAGTGTGCCATCTGTAGCCATGATAATCATATCCTTGCCACTTCCATAAAGATGAAATCCAAACCCATTGGTCCAATCAAGAATTGATGAGGAAAGCTTGAATTCAAAGAGGATGATTCAAGCCAGAATGATTCCACAGATATGGCAGGAGGCTGCAGGTCTGGGAAACAGAAGTGCACCCTTGTCCCCAGTGCCTCTGTCCTTCTGTGTAGGCATCATTGTCAGCCATGATTGATACACTGGTGCCGTGAGTGGAAGCAAAATACAGTTTGTCACCCTCTCAGCGTGTGTGTCTCAACAGCCTGCATTGAGCTACTTGGGGCTGTTTACCAAAAATCATCACTCCTGGACCTCACTCCGAACCTGCACAACCAGGGTCTGAATGGGAGATCTGGGGCCTGTGTTTTAGGGTAAGCGCTCCAGGCTTGTCTCAAACGCAGCAGTATCTGGCTGTCACTGCTCTCAGGCTCTTCCCTGCGGCCCCTGACTTTCTGTGGACCGGACTCGATGCTATTAATGTTTATCTTTAAGATGAACAAGTGTGAGGCTGATGAAACAGTTTGGTCATAGTCATAGAATTCTAGAGCCTGCATACAGGTGCCTTCGAGGTCACAGTCTTAGGTTACAGAGGAGGAAACAGGCCAGGTGAGAGTGTCTTGAGTGGTTGTTACGACTCTTTGGCTCATAATACGTAAGGTACTTTGCTGTGAATCGTGGATCAGAATAACGTGTGAGAGCTTTTCGGTACTGTGTAAGTGAATTTTTCGTGTTAGGTGTTATTTTTAATCCAGTTTAACCGTCTCTGCCCTTCAACTGGGGTCTGTAGCCCATTTGCGCTTGGTGTGGTTACTGGTGTGGTTTGGTTTTCCTGCCTCTGCGAGCTGTTTCCCGCCTGTCCCAGCTCTTCTTCCTTTTATTTTCTCCTGCCCCCTTTTAGATTGAATATTTTTTATGATTCCGTTTTTTGGCCTTTTGACTTGCTGTGAGTTGGTAGGTTTTTAGATGTTTAATTGTTGCTGTAGAGTTTACAGTTAGTGTGCCCCTCTGACTTGTTGCCGTCTGTGTGTGCAAGAACTTGAGGACGATGTGCTTCGCTCTTTCTCTGCCCTTGTGCTATTGTAAGTTACACGTTTTACCCTCTCACGTGTTATAAACTGCACAGGGCATTCTTCGCCTCTTTATTTTACAGTACATCATTTTCTTTAAATAGTCAGTTATCTCTTAGAGATGTCTGTTAAATAGGAAGAGGCTTTTGTGTTTCCGCATACGTCTCCGTTTCTGACGGTCTTCGTCCCTTTGTGCAGATCCTGACTCCCGTCTGGTATCACTTTCGTTTTGCTTGAAAGACTTCCTTTCGTATTTCTTGTAGTGCAGGTCTGCTGCTGGTGATGGTTGCCAGCTTTTGTATGTCAGAAAAAGTATTTCACCTTTGTGTTTGAAAGACGTGAATTTCAAAGATATTTGAGCGCTTTCTGTTCACTGGGTGTAGAGTGTGGGTTGACCTCTTTCCTTTCAGTCCCTTAAAAATGCTGCTCTCTTGTCTCTAGCTTGTGTTCTTTCTGGTGAGAAGTCTGTGTAATTCTTGTCTTGGTCCCTCTGTCTGTATATAAAGAGAGTTGTTCTCTGCGTTGCAGAATTTACTGTCAGCGTTTGGCACTTGACTCGTTGACAAGGTGTTGGTGTTCTGTTGGATGTGTGAGCATTCAGGTCCCTGCTGCCCCTCTGTTCTGATGCCTCCGTTCTCTGAGCCCCGCGACTGAATTTCTGCCCCCGGTGCTTCTGGGGGCAGTTGGAACATGTCTGTAGGAAAAGGAGAGGCGCGTCCTCAGGCACCCGTGGCCTCTGGGCTGGTTCTGAGTCTCCTGTGAATGCTGGTACCACTCGAGACGCATCAGAGGGCCGTGTGACTTCTGCTGCGGCAAGGCAAGGGGCAGCGCTTGGTCTCCCAGTGTTATAAGGAGTGTTTCTGATGTCTCTGATAGTTGGTGTGGATGACTACAGCTCAGAGTCTGATGTGATTATTGTACCTTCAGCCCTGGACTTTGTCTCACAAGATGAAATGTTGACGCCGCTGGGGAGGTTGGACAAGTATGCTGCGAGCGACAACGTGTTTAACAGGTACGTGCACGTCCCCGTCGTTAAAGAGGAAGCGGAGGGAGGGTTTATGACCAGAGTTACAGGAGGGAAGATAAAAGGACCCAGGTTACGGGTGCCCCTGGGCCGCCAGCTGTCCCTGAGCATGGCCGCCGGTCCCGCTGTCTGTGCCCCGGTCCTGGTGAGCCGGCTGCGCTGCTTCTCGGCTTTTCCGCAAAACAAACCCAAGGAACACTGTCTTTTTGCTGTTAGGCATGATCCTGACAGTCACATAAGGTGCCTGCCGAGGAGTCTGATTCTTCCAGCAGATGGTGCTGTCTGCCTACTGTGCGCGGGCGGCTGCCAGGGCCGCAGCGGCGGCGACTGGGCCCAGGCTCTTCCTAATGCGCTGTTTACCCAGATGTGTCCCCAGGCCCCATATGACACTTTCCTGGGAAACCTTGGTCTTTGCTTAAATGTTTTCAGTAGATATGTATAAAACTCAGTGACTAAAATATGTCAAGATAATGCTTTATATAATGAAGAATAGAGATATTTTTCCATTATGACTATTAAAGGTAGCTATTTGAAACACATTTTCAGTGACCTTAGATATTTGTCAGATAGTTGAAGAATATTTTGGTAAATATTCACTCTCATCTTGTTAAAATAAAATCCACACTGGCATTTGTCATGTTGGAAATTAGTGACTTAATTTTTCCTTAGTATATTTTATAATACATATTTCTTGTAAACTAATATAGATTCTGCCCTTTCAAATGCCAAATGTTAGCTGTCGAAGTCACTGAACACCATGTCATTTTCTTTTCCCGTGTAGACAAATGGTGGCCCGGAGTTTGCTGGATACACTGAGGGAAGTCTGCGATGATGAAAGAGATTGTATTGCCGTTTTGGAAAGAATTAGCAGATTAGCTGATGACTCAGGTATATGTTTATGCGGAGAAAGGTTTCTTTCACTGAATTCGTGTTTCTAAAACTTACTGAAAACCTAGTGTGACGTGAGATCTCTTGAAAAGATTTCCTAAGAGAATCATCAACCCTATCAGCGAGAAGAAGGTAAGAACCTGCTAAGGCCGCGCGTTCCGCCCGCTCGGCTGAAGTCTGGAAACTTCTCGTCAGAAAAGTCCAAGAGCGTTGTCTTGCATCATGTACATTAATAGTATCTTAGGATTGATAAAAACCTTGAAAATAATTTTGAATAAATTAAAAAGGGTGGAGTGGGCTGTAAGGTTCTTAGGTGAAATGTCAGATGCATTACTTGTATTAAAAAAAAGTTAACCACCCCTTGTAACACCAAAGCTGCCTTGTGTGTAAAGTGGAGGTAAGTGGAGAGTCTGCTTAAGGAAGAGGTGAACTTGACTTGATGCTTAGAATACAGTTTATTAAGTTTTTTTAAAGAATAGTTTTATTGTGGTAAAACACACATGAAATTTACCATTTTAACCTAATACTTTATTAAGCATATTTTTGTGTTTGACTTTAGAAACAATCAAAAATAATTTTTTTAATTCATGATCTCTTTATTAAAATGTGTTTTTCAGTTTCCAGCAGACTTTTTGGCATGTCAGCAGGTCTCATCTTCAGTTTTAGATGAGTTCATCTTTTTGTGGCTCCCTTCTCTGGGACTGTGTTCACTATTTACATAGCTTTAAGTATTTTTATCACCTTGTGGAAGACGCCGTCTGTGAGCGTACTGACGTGCTGTCTCGCTGTGATGGTCTGTGTTCATAGCTGCTCGCGTCTGTGCTGCTTCCGGAGCAGTTTGGGGTGTCTGGTGGATGGTGACCGTACTCGCGGTCTGTTTCGGTCTGGCAGAGGCAGACACGTCACCTTCCACTTCCGGCACCGTTGAGCCCATTGTGCGTACTCCTTTGTTAGGAGAGACTTACTCTTCAAGGAGGAATTTCTATTTGTTTTCTTCTGCCTGTTTACCAGCTATAGTGGTGTTCCTTCTGTCTGTATATTTTGTGTGTGGTTTTAAATATGTTCCCAAGTTGAGTTTCTGATAAGTATCTCTGTTGACATTTGCACTCGCACTTTGTTCGGTAAACATAAAACAGTGCATACTCGACGCAAGTTCTGGGTTCCGTGCTAGAACTATTACTAAGACGAGGAAGAACTCTTGTCATCAGATTAATGAACGAATGCAGCCGACACACTAACGTTGTTATCCCGGGAGGATTGGCTGGCTTCAGAGTCGGGGAGTTGGGGTTGGTTTGGTGGGGACCGTGGGGGTAGAGGGCCGGGCTACTCGCAGAGGGGAGGACAGGCCAGAGGTGGGTCCGCAGTGGGTCACTGCGCCTGCCGTGAGAGAGGAGACTGCAGTGGGGCGGCTGCAAGGTTCCCACGGCCCCCCGCGGCCCCCGCGCCAGGGAGCTCGCACTTCTGTGAGTGAGAGCAGAGCAGCAGTGGGGGTGACGGAGGGCCAGCTGGGGCGACGCCATGGCTGCCGTGTGCTTGGAGGGAGCCAGCGAAGAGGGCTGGCCGGCCGCGGTGGTCGGGAACGCCGCTGAGACCGCTGCGGCTTGAACTTAATGCGTGTAACCCCCTCCCAAACCAGCAAGGCGCTTAGAACCCTGCACGCTGCCTTTTCTGTTCCAGCTTTTACCTTTGTTCCTTTGTTCCCCTGAATTTGTTCGTCTTTTGGAGGTGGCTGTACAGCGAGCGCTTGTGCAGACTCACCGCTGAGTCTGTTTCCATGCCCCTCGCTGGTGCGCCTCTTGCCCAGCCCTTCCGCCCCCTCCGCCCCCCCTCCGCAGGAGCACGGATTGCTGGGGGCCTGGGAGTGGCGCGCCCTTCCTTTTGTCTGGAGGTGTTTCCGTTTCCCCGTTACGTTTTTTGCGGGGAGAGGCAGTCAGGTTTACATGTTTATTTTTGGAGGAGGGACTGGGGACGGAACCCAGGACCTCGTGCATGCTGAGGATGTGCTCCACCACTGAGCTGTGCCCTGCCCCGCGCCATTACTGTCAAATGGCACGTAGCCGAGTGGGACGATCTAGCTGGCGCTGTTGCTCTTACCCACTCTGCTCTTGCTGTGAAGTCAGCTGGCCCGACGCCGTCGTTGAGGAGGCCTGGGTGTTCCTGACTGCTCCAAGACTGCTGCTCCTTGAGCCTGTGCGGTGTCGCTGCCCCCTGCTCAGGTGCAGCTTTGCTTTCATTTATTCGTCTCAGGACAGTGCCTTCCATGAAATGAAGATTCCTGTCTCTGCATCAGATATGGGAACTTCTCAGCCTTTAACATTTTGAATATTCCCTCTCCTCCACCTGGAAGTTTTCTGAACTTTTGTACGTGGTTCAGAAGACAGAAGTCCTGCTCGAGCAGCATATCTTCCAGGTTCTCACTGTCCAGCCCTTTGTCCCCCGGCAGAGCGCTCGCTGCCAGGTCCTAGCCTGCACCGACTTGAGTATTTGATGCCGCTGACGCTGGTGTTCTTTTCAGGGGCCTTGTGCTTTTGTTCTCTGCGCATCCTCCTTGCTCACGGGTAGTGAGTGACCCCTGAACACACAGATCAGTTTGAACCTTACACAGAGTCACCCTGGGTGTCATCCTGGGTGTATTCTTTTGTGCTCCTCTCTGAACCGCCGAAGCTCATGCCTGTGCATGTAGCTATTTAAAGTTTTCTGAAAATTACCACCCAGGGATTGCAGTTGAATATTCTGCAGCCTGTTCATCCGCCGTTCTGTCCGTGGACCGTCAGCCACACGTGTGCATGTCCCGGGGCGGCTGCTCGGGAGGGGAGCCCCGCGGTCAGAGGTTATGCCTGTGCTCATTTTTGACGCTATGTTGAGGTTTCCAAAGTGACACAATGGTTTGTAGCAGCAGCAGCAGCGGTGTCTGAGAGTCTCTGTTGCTTCCCGTCTTCACCAGCTCTTCTTTGTTTATTTAAAATTTTGCCAGAGAGGTAGTGGTTTGCCTTTGCATCTCACTGTCGTTTTCATTGACATTTCCTACCGACCAGAAAGGCTGGGCACCTGGTCACTTGCTTACTGGCTGTCCGGGAATCTTCTTTTTGGACATACCTGTTCAAGTCCCTTCCCCTTTTTAAGGCTGACAGTCTTTTTTCTTATAGATTGGCAGGATTCCGTATTCCGGATACGAGCCCTGTGTCACCCAGCGGAGTTTGTACTTTGAGGTGTATTTTCCTCTCTGTCACCCTGGGAACGGCGCCTGCTCTGGGAGGGCAGTTCTCCCTCTCACGGACAGGGCCGCCTGTGACCCCTTTCCTCAGCCCAGAGTCGTGGCTGTTCCCCACGGTATCTGACCTGGAAGCCACACTGATCGTACCCCTGACTCAGGTTACATCCCGGCTGGACTTGGCTCCTGCATACGGTGTGCAGCAGGGGCTGCATCCCGTTCTGTTTCTTTGTCAATGTGTGGACACAGCGCGTGTATTTAAGAGACTGTCTTCCCTGCTACACCTCAGTTACCAGTTGTCTCTCTGTCTGGTCCGCGCCTGGACTCTGTTTTGTTCTGTTGGTCTGTTTGACTAAGCAGGGCTTTGAGGAAAGAAAAGTTACTGATTTCATTCTCAACGAAGACTGGAACTTCTTTTGCTTGAAAAATAGGTGTATTACGCCAGCATTCGCAAATTCAGTCAGAAAGAGTACCTTTATTAAAAATTAGTTTTTATTTCTCAAAACAGAAGTGCACTATTTTGTTCAAGTACCGTCTGACTTCACATGGCACCGCCGTGCAGTGGAAATTCCCAATGCCAGGTTGTTGATAAAATTTTTAGCTTTGTACAGTGCTAGGACATACTCTCCTGATAGTTTCATTAATTTCGTTTGTTGAAAGTTAAATTTCCTCTGGACGCATTTGTACATTACCGTAACGTAGCTGTGGGAACAGAGTCGATTGGTGCCAGGGCACTGAGGAGGGCTGGTGCAGCGGGCTGTGCTGGGGACTCCGCATGTCTGCCAAGGCTCAGCCACTTCGTTTCTTCTGTGAACTGCCCATTCGTAGCCTTAGTTTCTCTCTTCTGTTCATGTGAACGAGGGGTTCTTTATGCATTTCTTTATTAACACTTCATTATACATGTATTTCCTCCCAAAAGTTCTGTCTTTTACTGAATGTGGCATCTGTGGTGTATAATGAAGTTTTTCTTTATAAAGTGAAATTAGCTCATCTTAGTTTCTCAGTTTGCCTTGAAAGGGCTTTTGATCTTTAAAAAGAAAAATTGGCCCTGTGGTTCACGTCGAGTTTGTGTGTGGTGAGCAGCCTAGGAATCCTGCCTTGTTTCTCATGTGACCGGCTGACCTTCCGACCAGTGCTTGCTGGACGATTCCTCTTTTGGAAACCCGGAGGTTTGCGGTGCTGTGTCTGCCACGCGTAAACCTGCCGCGTCTGCTTGGGTCTTGTCGGGCTTTGTTTTGGTTTTTTTACTTCCACTGGTCTCCTTTATACTCACTCGCCCCTCATCTTACTTGAGTCCGACTGTGCGCCCTCCGCTAGCTGGCTGCCTTTGGGCTAGGGGCCAGTCCTTCTGGCTTGTGCTGGGAGGGGCTGGTAGCAGAGCCGACGGGTGGTGGCAGCTTGTAGTTGGTGGGTGGGATGTTAGGCGCAGGGCTGGTGATGAGCAGGTGCAGTCCCCGTGCACACAGTGAGACAGACGCTGGGACGGGGCAGGCCCCTCGCCCACGGGGTCGGCCCCCCTCAGGCCAAGAGAAGAGTCGCAGGCGCTCTGGGTGGAGGAGGGGTCTGGCGCTTCCTCACTGGCCTCCCACCAGACCCGGTGGTGCTCCTGTGGGAGGACGTCGTTCACGCGCTCCAATTTCACCAGAACCAACAGTGAGAGCGGAGCTGATGGAGCAGGTGCCCCACATCGCCTTGTTCTGTCAAGAAAACCGGCCCGCCATCCCCTATGCTTTCTCCAAATACCTGCTGCCTATCGTGGTGAGGTACCTGGCAGATCAGAATAACCAGGTGAGTGTGCCCTCTCCACATGGTCTCGTGGGTGTTCAGTGGCCCCCAGGTGGTCTCATTGGGGTGTTCCTTCCTCTGCGACTTGGTTTCTCTGTTTTTCAAAACACCCGCGTGTCCCTGGAGGTGTCTTTCATGCCAGTCGGGCTGCATCCTCACCTGGTGCCCTGCTGGTATCCCGCAGGACATCTGTCACTTTGAGACCTAGTGTACAAGAACAGCGCTTCTGCTCCCCCTTGTCTGTTACAGCACCACCTGCGGAGTTCTGTTTTAGCCTTAGTTGAAGAAAATAGCCACCGACTTTTATTTGCAAGGTTCTGCCGGTTGTGAGCGCCTTTAAGTTGGGATGAGAGGTCTTCAGACGTGTGAGATTCGGGTGTTAGCCTGTGGTTACCGTGAGTGAGTCCCAGGTTCTCGGGCCCATTCTCTCCCAGGTGAGGAAGACCAGCCAGGCGGCCCTGCTGGCTCTGCTGGAGCAGGAGCTGATTGAACGGTTCGACGTGGAGACCAAAGTGTGCCCCGTCCTCGTGGGGCTGACCGCCCCCGACAGCACCGACGACGTGAAGACGGAAGCGGTGGCCGTAAGTGGAACTGCTTCTCCATTTAGGGAAAAAGTGTCCTGTGTTGACAGGCAGGAGGTGCTCGTTACACGTTTCACTGCATCCATACTGTGGGGTGTCCGAGTAGCCACAGGTCATTGCATTTGAGATATGATGCTGGGCCCGGAAGGGACATAGCCGTCTAGGGAAAAGGTGCTTTCTGTGCCCCGTGCTGTGCAGAGCACCTGTGAATTCGATGGCTGCGTCACTGGGCTCTGAGAAAGCAAGAAGTACAGCAAGAAAGTAACGAAATAACTGTAAATTCATTATAGCAAATGGGAAAATAAGATGGGAAGAAGAGATGGTATTCTCCCCTTGAGAGTGTCCTGCCACTTAATACAGCCTCGCTTTACAGTCTTGGGGGGAAAAAAGACTGGAAAAATTACCGGTGCAGTTGGGAAACCCAAGCCCCGTATGGACTGAGGAAGTATTTTATGTTTCCTTAAACTATAGGCTGTTAATAAATAAGCAAGCTGGAAAAGTCTTAGTTTGAAAATGTTTTCAGTGTGTTTTTGTTCGTTCTTGTTTCAGATAATGTGCAGAATGGCCCCCATGGTTGGGAAGGACATCACCGAGCGCCTTATCCTCCCCAGGTTCTGTGAGATGTGCTGTGACTGCAGAATGTTTCACGTTCGAAAGGTATTTTGCTGCTGCTGTTTAAGAAAAGGTGGTTCTGGTGGTCACTGTATTGCTCTGTGAAACTCAAAAGGTTATTTTTAAAGAACTCTGCAATATTGTGAAATGCCACCGATGCTTTTCTCGTCAGGTGTGTGCTGCCAACTTTGGAGACATTTGCAGCGTAGTTGGCCAGCAGGCTACTGAGGAAATGTTGGTAAGTATTGCAGAAAGGAATTATGGAGGGAGCAGCGTGTTACAAAGTAGCACGTTAAGTTTGAAACACTGACGGTTACCCCCAGATTTTATTAACACAGTCCCATGGAGCTAAACCAGGAAGATAGTACCACTTCGAGTTTAGGAGTTTAAATTTCTGTAGGCTGAACTGTGTTTTGTTAAGGACAGTTTGTTAAAAATGTAGGTATGTGTAAGAACCATCAATCCCTGTTTAACGCTTGCATTTCTATAAAATCAATTCTTATTTATTCAAACAAATTTTTACTTCTATTGCAACCCTCAAGTATTCTAGTGGCAGATTTATAGCAGGTGATTTTTAAATGGTGAGTTTACGGGATACAAACGCTTGATGTAGAAGTTAGCATGCTTGAAGAGCCCAAGTCCGCCCGTCGCCGCAGTGAGGAAGGACAGGCTCCTGGGTGGTGCTCCAGCTGTGCGTGTTGGGGTGTTCTTCCTTCTCCGTAGTCAGTACTGGTCTGAATCAGGCGTGAGCTTGCTTAGAACTGCTAACTTGTAATAGTAAATAGGCCTTCTGAATTTTATTAACAGAAATCTAATGTTTGAAATGCTGTCAAAGCAGAAAATGAAATAAAAGTAAGCCCTGGAGGCTGGTGTCTGTTGCCTGACGGGCCCCATCCCTGTCGCTAGCTGCCTAGGTTTTTCCAGCTTTGCTCTGATAACGTGTGGGGCGTCCGGAAGGCCTGTGCCGAGTGCTTCATGGCAGTTTCCTGTGCAACGTGTCAAGAAATCCGACGGACTAAATTATCCGCACTGTTTATTAATTTGATCAGTGATCCTTCACGTTGGGTAGGGTTTCGCTTAATTATCATTTTTATAAAATAATACAGTTTATAGAAAACATGATTTGATTTCATAATTTAAGAATAATTGATCATTTAAGGCATGTTATTGCTAATGCTTTTAGTAGACAGTAGACTACTATAGTAACTGTTTTCTTTTAATTTTTTTTGTGGGGGTGGGTATTAGGTTATTTTTTAATTTATTTCTGTGGCAGTACTGGGGATTAAACCCATGACCTTGTGCATGCTAGGCACATGCTCTGCCACTGAGCTACACCCTCCCCCCACTTAACCTGTACGTAATTTCTGTTCCACTTAGATGTTTTATAGGGTCTCATATTCGTGTTCTCATGTTGTAACTGTTCAAGCAGGATGAAAAATTTAGAAGGAGGAAATAATTGATGAGGAATGATGAATCCTAGCTGAAGACGGACTTATGTTTTATTCCTGTCCTTTTTTTCTTCCTAGGTTCGCCAGGCAGCTTTTCAGTCTCTGGGACCTTTCATATCTACTTTTGCTAATCCATCTAGCTCAGGCCAGTACTTTAAAGAAGAAAGCAAAAGTTCAGATGATGCATCAGTAGAAGAGAAAAATAGGTATAATTTTTTAAACTTTGCTTTCCAGTTTCCCTGCTTGTGAATATTTTTTTTCATTTTCACTATTTTTATAATGTTCTTTTTGGAGCGTTTTCTTTTTCTTTTGATTAGAAGAATTGGTAGATATTTTCGTAGTTTTGTTTTAAGTACGTCTGTTAAACGTCTCTGGTTACACGTTCTCAGAACAGCGCCTGCTGGTGTAACAGCATTTGAAAGACTGGTGGTCAGGGATATCAGAATTTTGGCATTTAGCAGCTTGACCGAGCACTGACAATTATCTGGCTCTAGGAAAAATCAGTATTAGAGAATTTATATTTTCGACAGTTTGAAGTGGCTGTTATTCATACAGAATTTGATACTTCCAAGAATTTAATACTAGAGAAGATTTTTTTTTGTCTCTTTGAAGCCATACCAGGAGATTTAAGTTGGGACAAACTGGTAATTTTTCATTAGGCAAATAGAATGAGTTGGCCAGTTATTCTTTTTTTTCCTGCTAAGAAAATTAAAATTTAATTTGATGCCGAAGTAAGACAGTGATCCAGGCACATCAGGCCCTTGGAGTAGTTTTATATGCCAGATGGCCCTTTAACTGGGTTCTTTCTGTGTATTTTAAACGCAAGTTTCTGAAATTCATCAAATGATAGATAAAGTCTTAAGTAGGATTTAACCATTTGCTCCCCACCCTCACCGAACAATATCCTGCTACTTTAATTTTTAAAATTTAATTTGCATGGTATCAGAAAAACTGTAGAAATAGCACACAGAATCCCATAGGCCCTTCATCCAGATTCTTCAAATGTTAAAAATCTTATACTTGCTTTATTTTTTTTTAACATTTTTTATTGAGTTATAGTCATTTTACAATGTGTCAAACTCCAGTGTGCAGCACAACTTTTCAGTTACACACGAACATACATATATTCATTGTCACATTTTTTTTTCGAAGTGAGCTACCACAAGACCTTGTATGTATTTCCCTGCACTTCACCATACTTGCTTTAATTTTATTTTCTCTCTGAATTCTTTGAGGTAAGTTTTAAGCTTATTAATACTTAACTCTTTTTTACCTTAAATATTTCACTATGCATTTCTCAAAACACGACAGTAATACATAGCCACAGTCTAATTAACACAATTAAGAAATTAACACACAGTATGTCATCTGGAGACGTCATTCAGATTTCACCAGTTAACCCAAAACAAAGGAAAAAAAATCTTTAGACTTGATTGAAAAATACGTAATTCATACAGATACAGAAGACGTTTCTTTTGCATAATAGCACCAGCTTCAAGGACTGTTTTGGCGGTGGGGCAGGTGGGGAGTCGGAGAGGGAAAGGATCTTTCCAGCCGTCGAGGCCAGTCCCTCGTTTTTATGAACAAAGAGTAAGTGTGGAGTCAGCGGGGCTGGTGCGGGGCTGGCTCTGAGTTCTTGCACGGCTGTGACAGGAGTTTATTAGTCTGTGTGCACTTTATGGTGATAAAGATGGAAGAGAAACACCAGGATTTTTGTGCTGTCACTGTGTGGGGTGATTTTGGATGACTCATTAGATATTTTTATGTTTTTAAAAAATTATTTTGAAGTAATCGTGTTTCTAGAGACGATGTTTCTGAAGACAATGTGAAGATTATTGTGAGGTGAAGCCACAGCGAGGACGTTGGTCACCTCAGGAGAGCTGTGTGGGGCCCTGTGACCGGGATGTCACGCAGGCAGTGTGTGTCCTTCCAGGGCGCAGGCCTCGTGAGCTCCTGTATGAGGCCTGCGGTCCAGATTTCCCGCGCTCCCCCCACAGACTGACCTGCAGTGTCCGCCCGCATGTCCCCGGCACTCTGAGGCCGAGGTGCCTGTCCCCACTTCGTGTGGCCCCAGGGTTCTCGAGCCTGTTTCCTCAGAAGGAGATCGCTCTGCAGTTCCCCCGTCCGTTTCGTGTGGCTTCAGTTCCTTCCTCTCTTCCGGCCTTTCCCTTTAAGCCTAAGAAATGCTGCTCCTGAGCCTCCCTTCGTGCAAGGACATGGCCTCCCTCCCCGCTGTCTGTCTGTGCCCCGCTGCCTCTCTGGGCCACCTACGGCCAGGCCTGGGCAGGCACACCCAGGGTTCTGCGCAGATCAGTGGCCACGCTGGCATTTCCCACTTTCCATGGGCTGCAGCCTCGGCTCAGGGCCTGGCCGGACGTGCCGAGGTCCTCGCGGCGTCCTCCCTTGGGGTCTTGCCCGCAGCACGCGGTGAGTGAGCAGACTGTGGGCTTTGTCGGGACAGGCACGTGTTCCTTCTCCGGCCTGGCACCGACCGCCATCATCCAGGGCACCTCTCTCACCTGCCCTCCTGCAGCCCTTGCCCTGCCTCAGCTCCACCCACTTTCTCTCCTGCTTCCAGAATTCTCTTCCAAAAATACCACTTCCAGAAAAGCAGCTCAGTTGTCCCTTGTTTCTTGTGGCCCACGGGGCTGTTCCAGGGCTGTGTGGTACGGGATGCTGTGATCCCTGCAGACGTCTCCCGTGCGGCTGTTTTCTCAGTGGCTGGGCCTCGACCACCCCTCCTGCCTTCACACATGCCGTCTCTGCTGCTCTGGGTGTGTTTTCTTCCCTGTAGCCTCAGGAACGTTTATTGGTTCTTTCAAACACAGCTCACACTGTTTCCTCTAAAGCCTTTAAGTTCACCTCCCATCTCTGCCCGCCGAGTCCCGCGTGGACACACCTGGACTGAGACTGTGCGGCCAGCCAGCCGCTCTCATCTTCGTCCTCTCTGCCTCCAGTGTAACCTCAGGAGCAGGATCGGCCCCTTGTTCACGTGTGAATCCTCAGTACCTGCCGGGGTCGTTTCCTGGCCCCAGCAGGTGTTCAGCACACGTTTGTTATATTTAGTTGAGTCAAATGAGATGCAGGGAATAAACATTAAAACTTACTGCAGTGCTTTGGCATAGGTGATGGATGCAGTGATCCGTGGACTTGAATTTGGGAGCTGCCCTGTCCTAATCAGTGAGGTTATGGCTCTGGGGAAAACTTCTGGCCCTGGAGCTGGAAAGTGGGGAAGAAGTAAAAATCACTTACACTTGGATTTTAATGTATCCTGTGAGATAGTCAGGAAAGGTCTCTTCTAATGCTGTATAGAGGAATGTTTCCCTCGGTGTAAGCAGGTAGGTTTTAATTCTCAGCTTTTTGATATGTCATTGGAGCACAGGGGCAATACCATAATCCTAAAAAGCAGATGATTTTTAAGATATATTTAGCTTTAAATGCATTGTACGAATCTGTCTTCCTACTATTTCTTTGTAATCTTTGTATTACTAAAATTAGCATCGTATTGTCGAATCCTGACATTCTTAAATGTTAGCTTCTTCAGCTAATGCATAAAGCTTTGGTGTCTAGACTTAACAGGTGTTTACACCTCTGAACACAGAACACCTGATTTTTGGGAAAAAAAACATTATCAGTAATAGATGTAAACTACTCAATTTGTATGAATAATTTGTAATTTTTAATATTTATCTTGTCTAAATGCTTTATGTAGTGTCCTTCATTGATTTTTTGCAGTAATTCTTTTTATAATTTTCACTTTCTTTTTCCCGAACAAAGCAATGAAAGGACCAGAGACCAGGAAGCCCCCGAGGATGTCCAGATCAGGCCGGAGGACGCCCCCGCGGAGCCAGCCACTGGTCCTCCCCGTGTTGAACTGGAAGGCACGCCGGAAGACGGTGCTGAAAGCCCTTGGAGACCTCCTGGCGAAGGAGCCGCTCTGGTGGGCAGCTCTGTGCTCTGTGCTTGGTCCTCAGAGCCCCCCCAGGAGGCGGCCGGCGACGAGAAGGACAGAAAGCCTGGGCATGGCCGGTCTGCATCACGGTTGGAGGAGCCAGGCCTCCTGGACCAGGAGTACAACTCCTTCCATTTCTGGAGGACTCCTCTTCCCGAAATAGATCTTGACGTGGAGCTGGGGCAGGGCTCTGGGAGCCCCCTCGGCCCGGAGGGCCCGGGAGCAGCGCCCCAAGTCTCCGTGCCTGGCTCTGCGAGCCTCACCATGGCCACCAGGAAGGAGCTGGAGGAGCTGATCGAGAACCTGGAGCCGCACGTCGACGACCCGGACGTCAGAGGTAGGGGGCCGGCACGCGCTTCCTCTGAAGCTGGCAGGACACGTTACGGCCTGACTTTGTCCCTCAGAAAAATTGTCTTTTCAAAACTTATTTCGGGGGAGGGTAGAGCTCAGTGGTAGAGCGCATGCTTAGCATGCACGAGGCCCTGGGTTCCATCCCCAGCACCTCTGTTAAATAACTAAACCTAAACCACCCCCATCCACCTAAACAGCAACCGCCACCAAGAAAAGGTGGAATCTCAGGCATCCTCAGAGGGGAAGAGTTTTTGACCGTTGTCTTCATGTATTCTTGTCTTCATAGTGATGCCCAATCTGATTCAGGGAATCAGTGTGAGATAAGCTCGTCCCTGCGCTCCTAAGTGTAGCGTTTACAGGTGTGCGGGTTCACACGTGCTGATGTTGTCAGTCATCGAGTGTTTCACATTCGGTTTCCCGTCTGGAGCCCTGCTTTCACTGTCCAGCTCTCAGTCTCGTTGGCGTTTTTATGAACCGGCAGCTGCAGAGTTGTTAACGGGGGTGCTGGACAGAAGGGTGTGTCTTGCTGTGCAGTGGGTGCTCTCACTACTGGGTACGTCTGCAGGAGTCACCGTGGCGTCTTTGTTCTCCAGTTTTGACTTGTTCCGTTGGGTTACTCACGTCCCACCCAGATTCTGTCATTATGAATAATGGCTGTAAAGGTGGTTTTGTGTGAACATAAGCAGTTGCTCTCATTGAGTGGAATTCATGCTCTGGTCAGTCGGTGTGGGAAGTGAGGCTCTGAGCCCTGGGTCTGCGCGGGGGCCAGGGCTTCCAGGTCTGTTGGTTGGGGGCCTGTGCACTTGTGACCAGTCAGTGAAACCTGAACTGTTACCTAAAACAAGAATTTAGAAAAATCCCCAGACTGTAAGTCTTCAGCTCTTTTATCACTGTTGGGGTTTTTGCCTTGTTATTCGCAAAAGCTAAAATTACTGAACTGTTAGGAATGCCCATTCTTAAAGTAGACAAAGTGACACCTTCAGGATCTTCCTAAAACACGAAAATTCTTGTGATGTTTGAACTGTGACAGGCTCACCAGTGGTTGTGAGGGCAGCTGTCACCTGTATCTGGCTTTGACTTACCATGACTTTTAAAGATTTCCTGTGGTCATTCTGCACTTAGAGGAAAACTGAATGACTTGATTAAAGGCAGACTATTACCCTAGATGGTTGAAAGTTATCTTTCTTTACCTGGCAAGGGTCGGGTCCCTTGCGGCGCCCCCCGCTTCCGTCCCCAGCAGCCAGCAGTCTGCTCTGTGACCCTGTGGTTCGCCTTCTCCAGAGACGCGCCCGTGGGGTCAGGCGCGGGGGCGCCCTGAGTCTGTGTTTGAGGTTATCCCACTGTTCTGGGTCCCAGGAGTTCACTTCTCCTTACGAGTGTTTTCAGTAGAATATCCTGTTTTTATCCCTCACGGTGGATTCTTTTCTACGAAAACCTTACAGCTTGACTTTCTTGGCTTTTTCCTCAGTTGTGGCTCTGGCTGTTGGTTTTTACCCCTGAAACCCAGGACTCTGCTCTTCATAACGATCTGATGATCTAGCAGATACGGAGGTTTGGTTTCACTTGACAAACGAGAATCTTGATCAAAACCCAGTCTTTGTGGCCCCTCCATCCCATCCTCCCAGCCCAGACAAGGAGAGCTGAGAGGAGTCACACCCAGACCGGGATGTCCATGTCTGAGGGCCGTCAGCCCTGAAGCAGTGTTCACCTTCACAGCCCTCTGCTTCCTGTTTAAATAAGTGCTGCCATCGTTTATCAATTTAAGTTTTATTCAGTTGATCAAACTGAAGTAGCTCTCGTGATTTTTCTTACAATCCTGATTTTCATGGGAAAAGATGGCTGGCTGGCGTTTCTGGGAGCCCTCGCTAGTCACACTTGCTGGTCAGTTCTCTGACACATGGTACACACACTTAATAAATATTCATTGAAATCTTGAATATGCTACTTTAAATTCTTTTTTAACAAATGAGCTAAAAAGTAATATGCATAGTTTGCTTTTTGAAAAGACTCACGTGGATGTATGAGTTTCAGAATATGACTTTGTGTTTTGGAGAAATTAACACGGTTTGACTTAAAATTGTACTGAAAGTTTACAGACTGCAAACGAGAGGTTTTAGTAGTAACACCATACTATGATTCAATCAGTTCTCTTTCTGATTCAGCTCTTAAACCTGCTGTGATTTAAATTCATCGTGTTCTTTCTGCCCATAATGATGATACTTTGATAACATATCCATCCACTGGTGGATTCATCCAGCATTACTTAGCGGGCAGCTGTTAAGTGCCAGACCCTCTCCTGGGCACTAAATACACGCCAGGAACAAACCAGACAAAAATCCCAGCCTCAGTGAGCGTGGCAGGTGAGACTCACTTCACAAACTGTGTTCTGATGTCCTGCCGCCAAACACGGGATCTGTGCTGGGTGTGTGGCTGCAGGATTCTGGAGCCTTGATTTTGCTGAAACCCGAGGGCGTGTTGAACCCAGTGTGAATTTCAGTAACTGCCAGACTTTTCAGACCGTTAGGTGTTTTGAGTTTTTAAGGGTGTCCCTTAACTTGGGATGCATTTTTCTTTTTTAATCCTGCCACTGTGGGCAGCCATCTCCTTCAAACTGGTAGAGAATGTCTGCCTTTTTGAAAGGCAGAACTTTGACCCAGAATTGGAAATGGAGTTCTGACAGGACTAAGGTAGCTGTGTTGTGTGGCTAAGTGTTTTTCTGGTGCTTGTGCCTGAGGACGCGGGGAGGTGCCCGGGGCGTGATAGCCGGCCCCTTGGCGGGTGGCTTTCGGCCTCCAGAGCCTTGTCCATGTCCCTTTCTGTGCTGTTCGGTGGGAGATGTCCTGGGAACAGTCACCAGACTCGGGAGTTTTTCTTCACGGTCTTCCCAGTCTAACTCTGACCTCCTCCAAGCACTGATGGATTAATGACTGGGTGTGGGTGTGCGTTTCTGGTCAGGAAAGTTAAGTGTTTCCGGGAACTAGAATGAGACGGTCCTGTCAGAAAAAGGAAGCCCGTTCTCGGCTGTAGAACTGAAAAAGGTCCTACGACGTGGAGGGAGTGAGACAGAGAGCTGGTGTAAGAGGCCCCTCTTCCAGACCCTGTACGAGGGAGTGTGGGGCATGTGTCCTGACACTGAAAATCGCTGGCAGGTCCGGGGGCCGGGCTGATTCAGGATTGAACCTGAGAGCGGCCGAGTAGCGTTCACGGCACCAGTTCTGAGACGACAGGGCCCACGGAGGACGGACTTGTCTCCAGGGGGCTTGGGCCCAGCAGAAGAATTGGGTCCTTTTGGCAGCTGTGGCCAGAAAAGTCACATTGCGGATTTTTGTGACTAACCACGAGCAGAGTGTGGGGCAGACAGAAGGTGTAGCTTCGCTGGGGGGAGTGCCGTCCGGGTTCCCGGCCAACCCTGTTCTGAGCAGCGGTCAGCAGGGGCCGTGTCCTCACAGACCTGTGGTAAACGCGCTCTGACCCAGGGTTCGTGTCCGCGTTGTAAGTGCACTGCAGAAGGGATGGAGCCCGTGGTCCCAGTGGTAGGTCTGTGGGCCCCCCAGGAATCGGCTCAGGCCCACCTCCATGATCCTGTACCCGTTTTCTTGAAGGAGGTGACTTCCCAGGGGTACTCGTTTTAAACTTTTATGAACATACAGACCTCAAGACAGAGATTAATGTGGAGGAGGAGAGTCTGTCATCTGCTCAGATGAGTGACTGCAGGCTCTGATCCGTTAGTCTCTCCTGGGAAAGGTTGGAGATGCGCCAGCCCCCCCCCCATGACTCATGTGAGACAGGACACTCAGACCTGCACACATTGGGGCGGTCGGTCTTCTCGGGTGCTGTTGTGCCTTCACCGTGGAAATGTGAAGGAGTCTGCTGGGGAGAGCTGGCTTGATTAAAGGATTAGTACAAATTGCTGCTAAACTCTCTGAAGAATGAGGATGCGTTCCATGGTAACTTTTCACGGTTGACACCTTCAGTTTATTTAATAAAGAATGACCTGATTGAATAGAAAGAACCTCATCCTGTGTTTCTTGTCTTTACTTCCAGGTACCTCATGTGCTGAATTAGAATTTTAAAAATGCTACAGCACCATAATAGGTTATCCTAATAAAGTACTCACTCTGATTGCTTCTAAAATAATCTTTAAGTATGGGGGGGCACACTTTCTATTTCTAATCTTTGTACTAAATACGTTTGAAGTTAAAATTTATAAATTCTGTATTTTGAGGATCCAGGTGGATTGTTACTTCAAGTAACACTAAACAATATTTTTTGCTAACTTTCTCCTTTCCTTGTGGGGGAAGGAAGAATGTTTTACCTTAGCCTTGAATCACTGTTATGAAGAAGGTGTCATTCACAACACTGACAAAACCGTTTGCCAGACTTGAGAACTGCTTGGTGATGACATTCTGGTTTGCTTCGAGCAAGACAGTCCCCTGTGTCTGGGACAGGTCACCAGTTTCATTTTCAAGAAGAATTAGAGGACAACACAACAAATTGGGATAAGATGTTTAAATGTAACTGCCACAGAAATCTTTGTAATTACCGCTGTTTTATGTTGGCAGGTGGCTGCTCTTCTGCTAAAATAGCTTAGTAAGTAGCCCTGTCAGCCCGTTCACGCACTACCCGACATAGTTAACTCACCGAGATTGACTCCAGCACTAGATAGCGTGTCTCTTCCTACTAACGCAGAATAATGTACAGTAGTGGATAAACACATTTAATCTCACGAAAGCGTATTAGTCTCTCCTTTTTCTCTCGGGGAACTAATGCTGCACCGCAGTAGAGTTTTCCCCCAGCTTTTTGATGGCAGTGTCAAAGCATCGCATCCCACTGATCCCATAACCCTGCAGAGGGAGGGGACCGAGCGCCCCAGCTGGCGCTCACTGGCCCTCTCGTCCCGCCCACAGCGCAGGTGGACGTGCTGGCCGCCGCCCTGCGCGCCTCCAGCCTGGATGCCTGCGA